CATCAGCAGGACCGTTATCTGCTCCTTTGTGCAAGGAGTAACAATATGAGCACTGCCAGAGCCCTACAAAATTACTTACAGCAGGCCACTGGTGTGAATGTCTCTGACCAAACAATCAGAAACAGACTTCAACATCCTCTAGTGGGCCCTGTGCTCACTGACCGGCCCTGCAGAACTCAATTAGCATTTTCCATTACACACTAGAATTGGCAGGTGCACCACTGGTGCTCTGTGCTTTTCACAGGTGAGAGCAGGTTCACCCTGTTCAGGGGTCTGCAGAAGCCGTGGAGAACATTATGCAGACTGTAACATTGTTCAGCATGACAGTTTTGATGGTGGGTCAGTGATGAATATGCAGGCAGTTCCTGGAGGATGAAGGAATTGATTCCATTGAATGGTCCCCATGCTTGCCTTACCTAAATCCAATAGAACACCTCTGGAATATCATGTTTCGGTCCATCAGATGCCACAAGGTTGCACCTCAGACTGTCCAGAAGCTCAGTGATGCCCTGGTCCATATCTGGGAGGAAATACCCCAGGACACCATCTGTCATTTCATTAGGAGCATGCCCCGACATTGTCAGGTAAGCATACCAGCACATGGGGCCATACAAACTACTGAGTACCATTTTTGATTTGCTACAATGAAATTTCAGCAAAATGGACTAGCCTGCTGCATCATTTTTTCACTTTGATTTTCAGGGGTCTTTACTTTTCTTTCAGAATCAACATTTTCTATGGGACACTATACTACAAAATACTCCCACAAATGTGGGCCATTTATTTCAAACAAAATTTGTTAATTTCAACGCACAAAAAAATTATTTTTCGTAACAAATTCACTCAAGACTATGCTGCAAAAATGAATACACCCAATAAAACTCCTAGGAGCAAAGGTAAATTTTATACAACAAATCCCAATTACCAAGAATTCAACAACAGGTCAGTATAATTATTCATTAAACAGGTGTCTAGCAGACATTTGATTATAAAATGCCATTACTTAACAAAGAAAACCCCTCACCATTTTCATGCTGTCAGCAATGACACCACATGGAAGAGAAATGTCTCAAAGCCTGAGAAAGAAAATAATTTATTTACATTAGAAAGATGAAGGCTACAAGAAGATCAGCAAAGTTTTACTTATCAGTCAGAATACTGTAGCAAAAACAATACAAAAATGTAATAAAGCTGAAACTGCAACCATCTCACAAAGACGTCTAGGCCATCCACGGAAGTTACCACCTCGACAGCAGCATCTTATGATGAGAAGGATTGAAGAAAATTACCATGCATGTTCACTGCAGTTAGTAAAGAAGTAGAAAGCCAAACTGGGATGAATGTATCTCGTGGCAGAATACGGCATACACTGCAGAGGAATGGCATGCAAGGGGTGTCGTCCACAAAGGAAGCCTCTCCAAAAGCCCATAGAATTTTCCAGGGCCCATGCTGAAAAAGAAGACTACTGGGACTCTGTACTCTGGAGTGATGAGACCAGGATAAATGTTTTTGAAAATGATAGCTTCAAACCTGTATAGTGTTGCAAAGGTGAGGAGTACAAATGCAGGGTGCCTACAGTGAAAAATGGTGGTGTCAGTGGCCTTCTGTGGGGCTCCATGAATGCTGTTGGGGAGATGAATTTCATTGATGGTATCATGAATTCACAGATGTTCTATTCTATATTGAAAGAGGAGATACTACCGTCACTCCGTGCCCTTTTCATTGTGCACTTTTCCAACATTACAGTGATCCGAAACACACTAAGGCCACTGTTGTATTTCTTAAGAATAACAGGGTGAAAGTGATTCAGTGTCCAAATATGTCTCCTGATCTGAACCCGATCTAAACCCAATCAAACACCTATGGGGGATTTTGAAGAGACAAGACGAGCATCACTCTTCATCCAGCATCCAGGCTCTAAAAGAGGTCCTTCTTGGACAAGATGGAAAAAGATAGATGTTGTAACATGTCGCCAACTTGTTCATTCCATGCCTAGAAGACTTGGTGCTGTCCTTACAAATCATGGAAGTGGTACAAAATACTAGCTGTAGTAGTAAGTTGAGTAAAACTGAAGATTTTGTAATCTAAGTTTATATTATTAACCCTACTTTCATGTAATGAACTAAACCAACATAAAAACACAAACAAGAGGGCACAGACTCCTCGTGCATGACTATTAAAAAATGTAATCAAAATGCTGAGAGACAAAAACATATTCACAAATGCATGAATACAGCAGGCATATATGAAATTGCAACCTTGAAAATCCATCCCGTCTTGGAATCATCTGGTAGGTAGAGCTAATGTGTTTCGGGATTCCAGCTCTATTCCTCAGCTCTTTATAAAAGTAATGATTGAGGAGTCTGCACCCTCTTCTATGCATTTTTCAAATTTCTCTGGAATTTTCCTGATTCATGGAGGCTTGCACCTGAGGAAGCATTACACACACTATCTGAAGTACCCTGGTTTGAGCGCTGGAGTGTGTTTAAGAATTGAACTAAACAAATGTACTATTAAAGTCAGTTTTGTCAACATTTTGGAAATTGCTCTTCTGTTCACTGAAATATTGATTCAAATCTTACTTTTCAAAAGGGGTGTACTTATTTATGCTGAGCGTGTGTATATATATATATATATATATATATATATATATATATATATATAGTCACCAGAGCAGTACATCATCACCATGGTGCATAGGCCATAGGGCAGGTGATCAGGGATTTGATACTCATGCCTAAACATTTTTTACCTTAATGCAAGGAATGCATTAAAGTAAAAAATGGTTAGGCTTTATAACCACTTTAATTTTAGTGATAGGTACCCTGCAGGTTCTAGTAATATTTAAAGGTTTCCCCTGGTATTTTATCCACCATTGGAAGTAGTAAAACAGATCTAACATCCTAAACACTAAAACTTCTATGTGATACTTAAGGGAGTTCCTGCTACTAGCAAGGTTTTATATTCCCATAGAACTCTACGTTTAGTGTTCCCTGTGACATACTTAACCATCTCTAAATTGATATAGCAGCCAGTGGGTGACACCACAGCAGGAAAACGAGCTTTGGATGCACCCTAAAGTGTCAGAATCTCCCATTCAGCAGAGAAAAATTGGAGTCACTAAAAGTAAGTGTTCTTATACAGGCTAGCTCTAATTTAGTTGTTTTTGTTTAGCAACAGGCTTGCTTTATTTCTGTAGGAGCCTGATGTTGGCTGAATTGCTGGTTGTGTGTTTGAACTGTAATCTCAAACATGAACTTTTTTTTTCATTTGCTGATACTGTCCCATTTAGTACCAATTTGTCTTCTCTTATATTATACTCAGATTGATCTGCCCTACTCATAAAGAGCAATTAGGTGAAATAAAATGAGTTTTTGCCTTTGGCAAGATGTACACATTTATTCAGCATGGTAATCTCTGGTGAAGGCTTCTAGGAACACATTCTCCATGTTATTACCACTTAGTTTGCATTATTTTTTATAATGTTATATGTCAAGTGACAACTTCTGAATAATATTTGCATGTGATATAAACAGATGTGTGAAGAGATCCTTTAAAATAGCAGTGGATCAAATGAGGAACACATTTAACTGTGAGCATTTTGAATTCAATTTAAACATTGAACTTTACTTAACACTGAATCAATTTAGACATGTTTGTAAGTGCTCTGAAAAACTGAGCAACTATGCAGGTAGTATTTTGCTCCGAAGGAAAAAAAATGTGGTCGTACTATAAGGAATTAGCATTTAAATAATGCATTAGGAAAATAAACAGAGATAGCTGTGGGAAAAATACTTTGCAAGTCTGTGAGCAAAAAATATTAAGATTTTTTTATGTCCATAACTGTCATCCTTAGTTTGCTGCTAAAAGTAAAGAATGTTTCATACTTTCAGGAAAGCAGATATTATGGCTACATTGCTTAAATTTACAAAAGAAGAAATGGAACATGACACATTTGCTACAAGGACAAATGCAACGGTTCACTAGATTCGTTTATAAAAATTCCAGTGTTTACTATTTTTTCATCATTTCTAAATATAAACTAGCTTAAGCGTGATGATTTTCTTTACTCCCATCGACTGAAGATTTTAAAGGGGACTTTCTATATAGAATAGATTGACATAAATGATGGCAGATTATCAGATTTTCCTCCTCTGCCTTGTGAGACCCTGGACAGTGGCCTAGGGCAGTATGAAACTCATTTTGATGTAGGTCAGATCTCAAGCTTACTCTCCTGCATCTCATAATGTAGTTGGTGTAGATATGTCAAAAGAACATTTTTTTTACATAGAAATCACTATAAGATGATAGCACAGTATTTCATGGTCTTGCAGATTCCATCAAACAAAATGACACCAAAGCTTGTAATCCTAAAGAGTTTATCAAGGCAAATAAAAGAAAATCACACATACAGTACGTCTCTTCAATACATTGATACATTTCTCCATGTTTTATCACTTTAAAATTTTGCAAGTAACAAAAAATATCTGTTGATCTTCCAGAAAGGCACTCAGCTTTTAACCACAAGCCTACAGGGCACTTATACCCCCTTCCTGCCCTGGCCAATTTCCAGCTTTCAGCGCTGTTGCGCTTTGAATGACAATTGCGCAGTCATGCAACACTGTAGCCATATGAAATTTTTATCATTTTTTTGTGACAGATAGAGCTTAATTTTGGTGGTATTTAATCAACTCTGGGTTTTTTTTTCTTAAACAAACCAAAAACCACTGAAAATGTTGAAAAAAAATGTTTTTTCTTAGTTTTTGTTATAAAATTTTGTAAATAAGTGATTTTTCTCCTTTACTGATATGCGCTAATGAGGCTGCAGCGATGGGCACTGATAGGCTGCACTGATGGACACTGATAGGTGGCACTGATGGGCACTGATGAGGAGCCACTGGTAGGTGGCACTGATGGGCATTGACAGGCATCACTGATGGGCACTGAAAGGCAGTACTGATATATGGCACTGATAGGTGGCACTGATAGGCAGCATTGATAGGCGGCACTGACTGGAACTGATAGGCGGCGCTGACTGGCACTGTTAGGTGGCACTGACAGGCACTGGTAGGCTGCACTGACGGGCACTGATAGGTGGCACTGATGTGCACTGATAGGCAGCATTGACTGGCACTGATAGGCGGCACTGACTGGCAGCACTGATAGGTGGCACTGGTTGACATTGATAGGTGGCACTGACTGGCACTGATGAGTGACACTGAAAGGCAGCTCAGATGGGCACTGATATGTGGCATTGATGTGCACTGGTAGGCACTGATATGTGCCATTGATGTGGCACTGATGAGCACTGGCAGGTGGCACTGATGAGCACTGAGAGCTGGCACTGATGGACACTGACAGGTGGCACTGCTGGGGCTACACTGATCATCAGGGCACACTGATCATCAGTGCTCTGATGATCAGTGTACATGTCCCCTCCGCGGAATTCCGATTACCGTCTCTCCTCTTCTTTCGAGCTGTCAGCGTGACAGCTCAAGAGGAGAGAAATGCCTATAACAGGCATTTCCCTGTTTACATGTGATCAGCTGTAAGTGGACACAGCTGATCACATGACCGAGCCGACATCTTCGGCTCTTTCTGTGGATCGGTGATCCGTTGTGTCCGAGGGACACAGCGCACCGCCAATCGCCGCGCATGCGCGCTCTGGGAGCCACGCATGCACGGCTAGAATGGGAGGATGTCTTATGACATCCTCCCAAAGAGAGAACCACCTTGTGTCCGTCATATTACTATATGGCGGGCGGGAGGTGGTTAAACCTTGTGCTGGACTAACAACATAGCATTTTGGCAACTAAGTGGCCCTTCCACTCAACTACATAGTCTTTATCTCTACAACATAATGGTTAATTATTCTGTAGTCCAAAATGAGAACTAGGATTTTTGACATAGCATAGGAAATGTGCAGTGAACACGACAGCTCTTAATTTCTAAAACGAGAAAAATAGTTTTCTTTTCTACTTATCATACGGATATAAAAAAAAGTTTCAATACCAAATGGGAGCACATAAGAGAAGTTTATTTTTAAGGTTACATACATTTTATTCAATCAGTTTTTATTAAAAAATATTTTTCAAAGTACAGAAAAACACGGATAGACCAATAAGGGAGTCACAGTTGCCATGTGAAAAAGAGAATTACAGATAAAAATGGGAAATGGCAGTAAAGATTGGTGTGTGTGTCCGAGCCACACGGGAAGATGGCTGCCTTGAACAGGAGCTCCTCACACACCCTGCTGTAATAGCAACCCAAAGGGACTTCAGGCATCAGAGATAGCTGTGACATAAACAGCAACAGACCTCAGACCAGTAACGCTTACCACCCATGATGACAAAGGGGAAGAAAATCCCCAAGGGACCGAAGAAACTCACAGTTCTTCTCACAGCCTCACACAGCAGACAGCCAAGATGGTGCTGGCTCTAACACACAGGAACAGTCAGAGCTGCAACAGGAAGACATATCACTATCCTCATCAGCCTCTGACATAAACATAGCTGATCCTCTGTCACCAGTGAAGGAAAAGAGCAAGAGACCAGCTTCATCTCCTCTCCTATCACCGTGTACAATGGCTCCTGTAAGTAAAAATAAAACAATTCACACTTCTGCTGAAACAACAGATCTGACTGAAGCAATATATTTAATGGCAGAGCTGCCTGCTTCAGACTCCCCTGTCACACCCATTACAATGAAGCAGATGCTATTGCCCCTTCATAAAGACATACAACCTGATCTTCAAAAATCTGTACATTTTATTAAAAAAAAAAAATTAACCCAAATTGAAGACCGTACAGATGCAGCAGAAAGGAAAATTCAGAAATGTGTTGTAGCACACAATTCCTTGATAGATGCTTATGAGACACAATCACAAAAAATCATAAAAATTTAAGAAAAATGGCTGAAATGGAAGACCGCACAAGGAGGAATAACGTTAAAATCAGAGGGATCCCTGAATCAGTCACTCCGTCAGAGTTATCTATCTACCTGGGTAGACTACTGAAAACACTTCTACCAAACATGTCACAACCTGAGCTCATTATTGATAGAGCCCATAGACTGATGAAACCTAAACATCTGCCAGATATCGTCCCTAGAGACGTTATTGCCAGAATACATTTTTTTCATGCTAAGGAAGCACTCATGATAGATATGAGAAAACTTCCACTCCATATGAAAAATTTGCTATATTTTCGGACATATCAGCCTATACCGCACAAAAACGCAAAGAATTCAAACGCATCACATCAGCTCTAATAACCCACAAAATAAGATATCAGTGGGGATATCCCATAAAAATCTTAGCCAACTTTCAAGAGAAATTAATCCCAATTCTGACCCCTAATGATGGCATAAAAATTCTGGCATCATGGAATATCACTATACTACAGAGCCACAATATATGCATAAAGAAATGCATACCAAAATATATGCAGACTGGGTTACAACCCTGACAACCTGAACACTGGGACTTTTGGTCTCTTTTATCTGTTCCCTATTGGGATGTCTCAGTGCCTACTTCGGCATTAGCAGGGAAGAGTTAGCCCCTATACTTCACAGGTATACTACACACTCCACCAGATAATGAGTCTGCTATGCACACTCATACAAGTTTTTATTTTGTTGATGTTTTCTTATACATCTTACGCTTTTATATTCTTACGAGCTTATTGCATTCTCCTTATCCTCATATTCAGCTAACATTTCTATTGATGGATACCCTTCAGAGCATGGGGGGGGGGGGGTGATCAGTGCTGTGCTTGGTACCTACAACTTATAACTACAATACTAGTTACTGTAGAGCAATTATATAAAATCCAAAAATGGTCATCATAACGTCCTTTAATGTTAAAGGACTTAATAGCCCTTACAAACGCACATCTCTATGGAGAGAATCTTTAAAAAAAAGATCTGATATACTGTGTGTACAAGAAACACACTTTAACAAGACTAACCCACCTACATGCAAACATAGGAAATTCACACAATACTTTTTTTCAAATGCTAATAAAAAAAACAAAGGAGTAATGATTGCAATAAAAGACACAACATCTATACAAATTCAATCAATATTCTCAGACCCACAAGGTATATTATCTTAGTTGCACATATCGACAATTTCTTAAAGACATTGGTAAATGTGTATGCACCAAACAAAGGACATAAAACCTTCTTCCAAAGCTTATCAAACAAAATTAAACTACTAAGACAAGGATCTTTATCATTTGCGGAGATTTTAATGAGGTAATAGATACAAACCTAGACTCGACCAACAAACTACGCAGACAATCACATACTCTAACATAATTTATAGAATCAGAAGATCTATATAATACATGGAGATATCTCCATGATGACGAAAAAGACTATACATTCTTTTCTCACTCCCAAAATTTATACTCACGGACAGGGGCGGACTGACAACTCATGGGGACCCCGGGCAATAGGGGATCATGGGGCCCCTGTGTCCTTGCCCAAACTCAAAAAAGCCTATGAAAAAGGTACCAGGGGCATCTCATGAGGCCCCCTACTGACCCTGGGCCCTTGGGCAGTGCCCGAGTTTCCAAATGGTCAGTCCGCCCCTGCTCACAGATTGATTTATTTTTAACAGATAAAAGATCTTTACAGCAAATATCTAGAACTGAAATTGGCTCCATCACATGTTCAGACCATGCCCCGCTAACATCAGAAATGTTTACAACAGCATACCCCAACAACCTCTCTGTATGGAGACTAAACTCAGTCCTAATTACAAACCAACATTATAAATCTCAAAAAGAGAAGGAATTACTGTCCTATTTCCATATCAATAACAATACCGAGATTGATGATTTTGTTCTGTGGAATGCACACAAGGCATACATGAGAGAAATAATAATCAAATTAGGGGCTTACGAAAAAAAAAATGAAAGCTAAAACAATTACAGACATATTATCGCAAATTAAACTCCTGGAATCACAACACAAACAAAACCCAGACCAAATGATTTTATCTCAGCTACGCTCTCTACGAGAGAAAATAAGGCTTCAACTCATGGAGCAATATGACTTTATGATAAAAAAATGTAAATTTATATCATACACGCAGGCAAATAAAGCAGGGCCACATTTAGCAAAACAATTTAAGCGGTATCAATCCAAATCGAAAATTGCATATCCAAAAGACCCATCTAAGGGAAAACTAGATATAGCCAATGGTTTTAGTAGATACTATGCAACACTATATAACATAAAAAACTCTCAAGAATTTACACCTCCTACTGATAACCAAATCAATAAGTTTCTGGAATCACTACAACTTCCTAAGATCTCCACAGAACAACTAGACTCTTTATCACAACCCTTCACCACCTCTGAAATTAATAAAATAATTAATGATATCCCTTCTCATAAATCACCAGGACCTGACGGTTCTACCAATGAATATTACAAAACCTTTGCTCCAACCCTTATCCAATATCTACATAAATTTGTTAATAAATTAACAACATCCAAAATATCCCAAAAGAAACATTAGAAGCCCTTATTATCACACTGCCAAAACCAGGCAAGCCTCCCACATCACCAGTCAACTTTAGACCTATATCACTTTTAAATACAGATACGAAGATTTATGCCAAACTACTAGCCAACCAACTTCAATCATTGTTACCAAAACTAATTCAGATCAGGTTGGATTTATCAACAGACGTCAAGCACCAGACGGCACACGTAGATTCATAAATTTAGCTCAATGGGCAAATTACCCACAAACACCATCTCTGCTCATCTCATTAGATGCAGAAAAGGCATTTGACAGAATATACTGGCCATACCTACAACTGGTACTAGAAAAAATTTGGAATAACAGGTTAATTCAAGAAAGCAAATATGGCTTTATATACATGCCCTAGTGCTAGAGTATGGTCATCTGGTATACTCTCTGACCCATTCCAGATATTGAATGGTACAAGGCAAGGGTGTTCCTTATCACCTTTAATCTTTGCTTTATGCATAGAACCATTGGCAGAAGCGATACGTATACAACCTGACATTGGAGGTATCAAAATAGGTCACAAAACACATAAAATAGGACTATATGCTGACGACATCATAATTGCTATGACCGACCCCATCATCTCAATAATAGCATTACAAAAGGTAATCTTGCAATTTAGCTTATTATCCATGTACAAAGTAAATGAAGCCAAATCTTCCTTGTTGCCGATAGCAATCCCATCTAAATTACATAAACGAATTTCATCAATCTCTCCCTTCTCATGGGCCACATCATCACAAATTACATACCTAGGAATAAAATTAACATCTCCCCACTCGAACACATTTAAGATCAACTTTTCCAATCTACTCATTAA